ATCTACACAAAAAATGGTTAGAACCTCAGAAAAGCACTCTGGCCTAGAAACAGAAACGTATGCATGTTGTTACTCAAAAGAGGGGGGAAAGATACAGCACTTTATTATAACACCAAAACTTTTTCTACACATCTATTTATGGTTTCAATATGTAATAACTGCTTAATATTCTACTAACATCAGCCACTCTAGCTAGGACCCAGTTCCTCTTCACCCTAAAGAAATAGATACAAAAGTCTCATTTCCCATTTTTTAACAATCTGACAGAAAATCTCATTACATTCACTGACATGGAAAGAGGATACTTTACAGACTGACAGGCTAGAAAACAGCTGCAGATTCCTCATGCCATCTACGGGGTATGGGAGCCAACGGAGCTACATGAAAGCAAATCTGTGACTCTTCCTTTTAGCTTTCTCACCCAGCCCTGCTGTATCGTGAATACGATTACAAGCATCTTTGGTTTTAGTTCTTGTTTCTCTCCGGACTTAACTAGAAAGATAGGATTTCAGTAGACCCTCTGCGCTCAGGTTCATCACATCTTTGGGCACTAAAGGAAAGGCTAGAAAGAAACCATCCATTCATTCCGAACTTATTTTCAAGTACACACAGATTATAATATTCTAAAATTTTATTTCTGAGTTACATCATTAAATGGCTTACTAAAAATTTACCTTTCAGTAAATGATTCTAAAAATACTATTAGACACAAGATATGTTATATGTTGTGTTCTGGATGTCTTTGAAACTATATTTCTGGCAATCATTATTATGGCTCTCCCTGTGGATTATCAGTTTCATTCCTTCATTCAGGCAATATTCTTGCATATTCTAGAAACATTTAATTTAATGATGCTAGCAGCTTGAGGCCCTTTCAGACATGATGCCAACCAAGTCAGAAACAGATGAAAGAACTCAAATCACAGTTATTTCTAATTAAGACAGCATATTCTTATAGATTTTTTCAAAACAATGCTAATAATTTATGTACTTAAATTGAAAGATTATTTTTCTTAAAAAAAAAAATCTGATAGCTGAAGCTAGAAGTTTATCAAATTAACTTGAGAGTCTTTGAAGTTTCATTACTATTAATGACCTGTTTGGAGATCAGGTGAAACCATGGATATCTTTCATGTTGCTATATTTGTCTAGGAGAGCTCTGATAGAATTTCCTCCTCAGCTAATCAGACAAGATGTTTAACATAACATTAACATTATCATCTTTCCTTCTCCCAAAGACTCTTCTATAAAAAACAGTGAAAACAATACAATTTGACGTTCAGATTCTGCATCTTATTATACCAGAGCGGAGTGACTTTGTCAGACATTGCAGTCTGCGTATATTCAATATGCTGAAAATTCTGGATGGTAAGATATGTAGAGCAGGGCCATTCACGTTTTTAAGTGTGCACAGAACAAGCAAGAATGCGTTTCTGCTCTATATTAGGGACGCTAGAGGCATGTGTAATAGAAGATGATAAAAGATTGTAAATGAAGCACATACAGTAAATTTTTAGTACTAAAGCAAATCACAGGAAAGAAAAATCACAAACCACACAGCTTCTGGGGGATCACTGCATTATCTATTGCATTCCACAATATTTTCCAGTCTACTCTGTCATTTTTGGGGAACATGGTCTCTATATGTTTGAGAAGAAACAGCTGTCAACAACTCATGTGCTATTTGTGTTATCACTTTTGCCGGTCAGAACAGAGAAGTAGCAAAGTTAAACTTGTTGATTCCATTCTCACATCAACAGGAAACAAACTCCCAAGCCTGCATGTGCTGATATCATCCCATACATAACAGGGATTTGATACAGACCTTGTTTTCCTTAGTCTGCTTAATGGAATCAAGCAGGAGAATTTTGATCAGGTCAAATCACATTTCTTGAAAAATCACTTGCAAAATCTGAATGTGAAACAGAAAAGGACTTCTGAGCATAACCACTTGCACCTTGGGATAGGGTTGAATCAATACTTGCTGATAGAATGCATCTCTTTCTCACTCCAATCTCTGTAATTCTTATATCCCTAAGAACTACTGAACTTAGGTGACACTGAAGTTATAAGCAGCTTTTCTCACTTCCAAATAAGCCTTACTAAGCCAGTAGGGACTGAGAGACTGTAGACCTGAATCCAAAATGGTCCCACAGGTGCCAAGAACTCAGCATCATCCCACCTAATTTGAGGATAAATGCTATCCTAGTAGCTCCTGCATAAGGTCTTCAGGTTCCTCCCACAATACAGAAGCACTCACAAGAGCCAGTACTCCAATGTCCCTAATGACTGAGGAGATTCTCAGTCTTGTCCCTTGGCGGGGTTTGGATATATGATTGGCACACACCATCACCTGCTCACAACTTGCAATCTACAGAGGCATCCCAAAGGGACTTATTCAGTTCATTAGGTTCCTACGATCATCATGCCAAAATGAAACATGGGTTATTTCAACTATTTCAACTATACTATTAGTATAGGCTAACATTAGCATCCTACATATCAAAATGTGAGTCTAGACTCCATGTCACATTGCATGATGTATGAGTGCCTGTAGCTCTATACATGGGCCTTAGCTCCTTTTAAGAGCTAGGAAAAGAGATTTTGTAAGAGATACGGGGAAAAAAGTGAAAAACAAATGTATTTCTTAAGAAACAGATCCCACAGATTTCTTTATCTGGTCATCAAGTTTTTCTCCATGTAGAAGGTAGTAATTGGTCATTCACTTGCAGGTAATTCTGGGAGAAAATTGATTTTATTTGCAGAGAAGGCAAAAGCTCATGATTGTCATATTGGTCTCTTCATATTTTTTCTGAAATTTGAGCTCTTGCAGGCTCAAAAACTGGCTACATAGTGGGCTACAACTAAAAATGTGTTCTGATGTTATGTTTTCTTCAGATTCTGGTTTTTGGGTACACATGACTGAGAGATCAACCCTATCTCCATTTGATCAACTATGTGATCAAATACACTTTGGCTTTCAAACAAAGCCCCCTCTGAAGCACACACCTGGAAGTCAAATCTTAAACTTCAATTGAGAGAAATCTAACATGCACCTTTGGCATTACTCTCAGGAGCAATTCCTAGCTGCTTTGCAGAGAACCTTAAGGAAAAATTATAGCATGGTTAGAATTACAGCGAGGAAGAGAGAGGTTAGGACATGCACGTTTTCTTCCTTTTTAAGATGCAGAGAACAGGCCAGGCTAGATGTACAACAACGTAAGGAGCAACTGCAATACATTAAGCTCCACAGCAGCAGAAAAATTCCCGCAAAATAACTAAGATAAAATAAATATTCTGTATCAAAATTCATGGTGGAGGAGTACTGTAGACAAATAGTTCATGTATTTTCTTCTCAGATGACATAAATACATTCAGTAGTTTAGCTTTCTTATATAACACAAAGTATGCTCTCCAAACAATAGTATAGCAAAAGGGAAGGGTTCCACAGAAATGTATATGCCATTTCTATCCCCCTTAAAAGGGTACTTTAACCGAACAGCAGAAATTATCAGTAATTATTTACTGCTTCCTTAAGGCAGCAATTGAAGTAGAAGAACTATGTCTTTTCCCAGGGTTGTCCTCAATCATTCTGGCAGCTTATGTTGGCATTATCAATTAGATAGCAGGGATTTTGCATGGAGCAAGCAATGACACAAAAAAAGCCCATTTTGTTGCCAGCATCCTTTCACAAGTTCTCTTCTGTAATCTGACAACTGAAAAATTATATCTTTTTCTTGAATAAGTAACTGCTGGGTAGAGTACTGTTGGTCTGCACTGAGCCATCCCTGTAGAAGAGGTAAGGATAATGATATCTCTTAATTTTCTAGAAGATTTTCTAGAATAAATCTTGTAAAATTCCTAGTGTTTTGTCTTCACATAGGGTGCATTCATACAGTTCTCATTGCAGAATCTGAGGTGCTTACCATAGAGAATTAGAATTCAGCCTCTCCCCACTCTTCAGCTCCCCTTTTTGCGTGTGTGCGTGTGTGTGTGTGCGCGTGTGTGTGTGTGTGTGTGTGTGTCTGTGTGTGTGTGTGTGTGTGTCTGTGTGTGCACGTGTACCCTTCAATTTTACTAGGGAGGTAAAGTTCATGAAAGTGATCCAGTACCCTGGTCTGGAGAATTACCCTTTCAGCTGTAGGATGCCTTCTTGCTTGTCACATTGCTTGTTTGTCTTACTTACAGACTGTAAGGCTACAATAATTCAACTACTTAAAATCATAGGTTTTCTTTAGGGAAACAAAATTACTAACATAGCACATTAAAACATGCTACTATGTCTATACTCAGCAATAATGAGCTTAATCTTCTTCAACATTGTCTTAAACTGCTCAGTTAGCCTCTATAACTTACTGGAGAGGGATAATGGAGGATTTTTAGAGCTGCACCTTGGTTTTTTGTCTATTAAGAATTGTTCAGAGAACCTGCTGTGAGCAACCTCCTCCCCATTCTATATTATTTCAGCTTTAAACAAAATATTCTTGCTATGAGCTCTCTAAGGTAAAGAGAAAGCCCTCCTAAATTTTATAAGAGTTATGTCACATACATTTTAGCACCATAACTAATATCTGATCTTCCTCAGCAGCCAATAGAGTATAAATGTGACACTTTATCATAAAAAAAGATGACACTAGGTAAGAGGATACTGGGACAGCACCCTCTAAGTGTTTTCCAAAGTTTTGAAATAAATGATATCATAATAATGCCTATCTTTTTACGTCATCCCAACCCGTGGAAAAACCAGCATGATTAATTAAAAATTCAGTGGGTGTTAACTACATAATAATGTTGTGTGAAGATGTTACTTAAGTAAATTAAGTCGATACTGATGGCAATGGTTGTCTTTTTAATCAGAAATATTCTGCTTCTGTCACTTAAGAAGAGAAAGTAAATAAACCAGTAAATACTTCTGACTATTGTCATTTTAGTGCCATAAAAAAAGTTCCTGAACTTTCCTTTTTATTCAGCACTCTTCTCAGAGATAAGAGTATACTTACCGTGCAGGGGGTCTGCATCCAAGGTTCCCCGTCTATCTGCATAGGCAGCGACTTGCTGGTCCTAAAGTGATATATTTCATTCTATAAGTAAAAGTAACTAGACAAAATTGATAAATTTATGTATTGAAGAGACATTTATGTGATGGCATAGACCCATATAATCCTGATTTACCCTAAGATTCTATATAATCTCTGGTATGATGAAACATGGTTATAATACTAACCCAGCCACTTAGCAGGCAGCAGAAACAAGCCTTAGCTTCATTTTCAACACACAAAACAAAAACATAGCAAACATTTACATATCTTGTTAGTAATATGCTACTCTGTCATGGGAGAATAGCCTGTAATTTGTGAAATAAAGAGTAAATCATGCAAAAAAAACCTTCAGGCATAAATTTTATTAACTGAAAAGACAAAGAAACGTCTGCTACTTTTGTATCTTAGAGTGACTGCTCTAAAGGAAATAAGAAATATACTTCAGCTCTACCACCAGTGTTTAGTAGACCCATAAAAGAAGTTTTCACACTTTTGCCTAACTCTGGGTTAGACAGACCACTCGCACAGCATGAGACAATTGTACTATACTCAGGGGCTTTAACTTACCATGTTACAGATTCAAATTGTTTGTAAATGGATATGGATTTTAATATAAAGCTGCAGCTAGTGTTCTGTGTACACTTTTGTATATAACATTAACAAAAGCATAGACAAATTAGAAAGAAAAACAAAAGGATGATCTTTTTGGGGTCTCTTCCAACCCTATATTCCTGTGTTATAATGGTTTCCATCTAGGTCTATTGGAAATAACATAGAGTAAATAATAGCAGAAAAAAGAATCAGTTGAGCACTCGTGATGGTCAGTAGAAATTCTGGCTTGAACACTAACAGTTTGGAGCATCAATCACTATCATGTGTAGGCACAGATAGATGAGGCGAAGACTATTCAGTGAACCTTCACTTCATAGCTTGAGAAGGGTTCTTTCGCATTTGTGGTCCTGTAATCTCTTGGTATCCAAAGAAGACTGAAAGGAAGTATTCTCATTTCTCTTCTTCATCAACATTAGAGAATACTCTGAAGTCAACACCAGCCAGGTCTTGAGGAAATTCTCAAATGTATGCCAGGCCCTTTAGAAAATCTACACATTTTCTTTAAGTTTTGATTAATACTCTTCAATAATTATCTTATTTTATGCCTCATTTTAGGTGTCTTAGACTTATAATTTATAGCTTATAACTCTATTAAAATTTTGAAAACATATATTTATCGCTCTTAAGAATAACATTTCCTTGCACAACATTTAATTTTACAAAAGAAAAGCACAGGATCACAGAAAGAAGGGCTAAAATGCTGTAAATTCTTTCTCTACTTCTACCAGTCCTGAAAAATTCTTCATCTCTCTCTTTTCCTGTACTTATCTAATCCAAAAGTTAGAACGCTTATTTTTCCTTAACAGCTAACCTAAATTTCCATTACTGTAAATGTTCTGGTCACTTTTAGCTTAGTAAATGATGAAACACAACTAAATTACTGTGCTCCACTGTTCATAGCTTACACATACCAACGCATTTATTAATAGTGACTTGTCAGTGTTCAGTAAATAACAAATAAATTAAAAACCAAGCACTTTGACTTCTAAGGATCAAAAACGTGCTTTACAAATACTAATTACATGCTACTATTCCCTGGTGAGAAATGCATTAGAAATGGGTTAAAATGTGTCAAAGTGATGTTAAATGACTTTTTGTTCAAAATCGCCTAGTGTCTATGTCATTAATAAAACGCAAGATGTTCATGCCCTACTCCTTTTGCTCCGACTGCTTGATACTATTTCCTCATAAGATGAAATGAGAGTTGAATATAAGATGTGAAGCCTAAATGTAAACACTCTCTTTCTAGCTGTTTGACATATTTAAAGAAAGGAAAATGAGTGGGCATAGAATATGAATGGAATAAATATTTCTTTGATAAATTTCCCTTGAACATGTTGTAAATTACTATTATTTAACATATAATAATAATACTTTCATAAGCAATAAATACAATAATCGTGACAATTAAACTACCAAAGAAAGTGAACTGGTAATATATGAAATATTCCTGTTTCACTGCAACAGTACAGTGCATATCAGCGATGTCAGTACCTGATAACAACAGATGAGCACTGGGCAAGCCGTCTTCCAGCACTTTTCAGCCCTGTATATATCTGACCCATCTCCATGGCTCCTTCCAGACCAACAACTTCCATAAGTTGGTCACTTAGATCTGAAAGAGTTGAAAATAGTTCCATTAGAAAAAATATTTTGTCTAGAAATGATTTTGACAGTGGTCATCCTAACTAGTAAGAATTTTTGTCAGAAGACCAGCTGATAAAAGATACAAGATGAGGTCAACAGAACTGGCAAAAAAGATTAATCACTTCCTAAGAAGTGATTGCAGTTTTAAAGCTGGGCACACGTGGGCCTGTTGTCACACCATTCTTAAATACCCTGACTGAAATGATTCTAAAATTCGATAATACTCTTCATGGTTTATTTTAATGCATATATACAGAACTAAGAATTTTGTTACAGGAGAAAACAAGAAAGACTCCTTCATTTGTTTACCTGAAGCAAACTGAGTGAGAAGTTTGCATTTGAGAAATTTAAGGTCTCTATTGTTTCAAGAGACATTTAAAATCTGGTAAATTCTATCTCCCAGACACTGCTCGAATCCCTGCTACACAATCCTTTTCAAACAGTGTGCACAACTCTAATTCAGTCTTTGTGTGTGCATGCTTTATGATAGACTCTAACTACGTGACTACTTAATATTTTTTGCACAGGATTTTTGCCTCCATAAGTGCACAGGTTCAATGCAAAAAGCACAGAATTAAACTTTTATCAGCAACTATTCATCTGGCTCTTCTGAACTTTGGAGTGCTTGTTTGCACCAACTTACATATTTTTGTTTTACATTGCTTTTTGATTACATAGCATTTTGGCACTAAACTTCTAAAAATATTTAAAAAACATAATGCTTCTGGCAAAATAATTACTTTGTTTGACTTCAAGGAGCAAGGACAAATTCTGTCTAGAATTTCAGATATGAACAGAAATACAACCAGAAACCTGAACAGTAATACAGCAGTCTGGTTTGAGAAGCAACCAACAAAGGTAATGAAATCTTATCCAGAACCAGCTAGGGCGTTTTCGATAAAATGGTCTACATGCTCCAGTTTAAGTACATGTTGCCAAGACCAGATGGACAAGGAAAAGAAACAATTTTCTAGCTGTATATTATGTGTTTTATAGACTAGCTGTTAATACCCATGTTTCCAAAGATATGCTGTTCAATGAAACAGAGAAATGAGCTAAAATGTTAGTCTATCATCACACTGAAAAACCAAAGAAAGAGAGCACATTACTCTTTGTATATTTTAAACTCTTCAAACTTTAATGAAGGTAGAATTTCATGCTAATTATCATATCTATGAGGCAAGTCCAAAGTTTCAAAGGGAGTCTTTTCTGTTCACTTCTTTGGGCTTTGAATGAAAGTAATTAAATGAAAGAAGTACTGTGATAGGAAACAAAAAAGTATGAAAAGCAAATAGGATTTACAGTCTGGATTATTCTGCTTCAAACCACAAAGTCTGATGCTATGGCTATCCAATGCTTTCATTTTTATTCTTAGGTTTTCTTAGTATTCCTTGCTATTCTAAGGAGTGAAATCATTTTCATATACTGCAAATGAAGCAAAAATAAATCCAATTCTTTCCTATTGGGGAAAACAATAAGATGGACAGTAAATTAAAACATATAATATGATGGATTTTAACTTTTTTTTTTTATAGTTTGCATGACTGTAACACACCTAAACCTAATTTTATATGTTTGGCTTTCTCCTGAATTGTTTGTTTAAGGGATAGTGTTCTTTTAGAATGTTTTCCTTGAAGTAAATCATACCCCTTCAATTTGCTGGACAACAAGTTAAGCATGAGCCAGCAATGTGCCCTTGTGGCCAAGAAGGCCAATGATGTCCTGGGGTGCATTAGGAAAAGTGCTGCCAGCAGGTCGAGGGAGGTGATCCTGCCCCTCTCCTCAGCCCTGGGGAGGCCTCACCTGGAGTACTCTGTCCAATTCTGGGCTCCCCAGTACAAGAGAGACATGGGCGCTACTGGAGAGAGTCCAGCGGAGGGCTACAAAGATGATCAGAGGGCTGGAGCACCTCTCCTATGAGGAAAGACTGCAAGAGCTGGGCCTGTTCAGCCTGGAGAAGAGAAGACTGAGAGGTGATCTGATCAACGTGTACAAGTATGTGAAGGGAGGGTGTCAAGAGGATGTGAGGCCAGTGTCTTCTCCGTCGTGCCCAGCGACAGGACAAGAGGCAACGGGCACAAACTGGAACACAGGAAGTTCCATCTGAACCTGAGAAAAAACTTCCTCACTGTGAGGGTGACAGAGCATTGGAACAGGTTGCCCAGAGAGTTGGCGGAGTCTCCTTCCCTGGAGATATCCAAAACCTGCCTGGACACAATCCTGGGCTCTAGAGGACCCTGCATGAGCAGGGAGGTTGGACTAGATGATCTCCAGAGGTCCCTTCCAACCTTGGCCATTCTGTGATTCTGTGAATCTTAACTCAGATTTAAACATCACATTTTCCCGATATCCACAGAGATTTAATTTGGGAAGTCCTACTCATTTGCAGAAGCTTTTCAATTATAAAAGCATACAGAATGTTATAGATGTACTAAATCATTAAAATGTTTCTAGCCAAAGAAAACATCAAATTCCTATTCAAAGGGTTATTAGAAAATTATTTTTTAAAATTGAAGAATAACTAAGAACAGATTTTTATTACTGACAGCTCAGGCAACATATGCAAGATTCAGAATACTGACATTTGCAATGATATAAATTTGATGCATCATTTTTCAATAGCTGTGAGATTAGTGCCAGTGACAGCAGTTAACTAAGGGCTAAATCCTGCCCTTTGATCCACAGCACTTATCTCCAAAAATGTGGTATATTAAACATTGGAAGATGGAACTGAACAATACTCGTATATACCAAAAAAGTGAAGCCTTTTCAAAAACTTTGCATCTGCAATGGCACATTCCCAAAGTGGGGTTATTTTAGGCCAAATATGAATATTTTTAGCAGCAAACTTAAGTTAGATGTAACCTTCCTTCAGAATCAATTAGAATTAAAACAAAAGTAGCATGCAATTGATTCTGAAGCCTTATCTTAGGGTAAGTTGTTGCTCCTGCCCTTGCTAATATATTTGACCTGCATGGATCTGCATAGCTAACATACATACATTTTAACAAATGATTCAACTCTGTTGACTTTGATAAGGAATTAAGAGTGAGGAAAAGTGGAAAAGTGAGGGTATATTTTAGCCCAATTTTTCAAAGATTTTACATGGAAATGGGTACTCCAGTTCAACATAAAGGGTCAAGACACCAGTGAATCAATTGTTCATGAAAGGTCCTTACCAAAGACTCTCAAAGGATCTAAGTGCTTTTAAAAGAGGTCAGTTCCTCTTTTAAATTAAAAGATACAAAAGGGAAAGTCACTGCTCACTGTGGTGGACGGTTATCACTAATTTCTCGGAAGGATCTGTGCAGGGTTCTGTACTGCTCAACATATTCCCCTAAATAACTTTGAAATAGGAATAGAAGAGTGAGTTGCTGAGGATTTAGGGAAGAAAAGACAAAAGCCAATTAAAAAAAGATGTAAAGGGATTTCATAATACTGAGTAACGGGGCAATAAAAAGGTAAGAGAATCCAATAAATGTAACCTAATTCCAATGAGGGGAAACAGAAGTAAGCACATCTATGTAGACTGTTCTCTATCTCTTTCTATCTTTCCATATATATTTATATATGTATACCTGTGTAATGTGCGTGTATATATATGTATATGTGCATGCATATGTTATGATGGGCTTTAAGTTAATATTATCATGCAGGAACTAGATTGTGGAGTTATTCTGGCTACTTCTATGAAAACACCAGCTCAATGATAACAGTGATCAAAATTCAAATATTATGATTGATAACTCCACACAGTACAGTATCTGTAGTTCTGGTTCACTCATCCACAGAAAGAGATAAAATAACTGAAACAAATATGGCAACAAAAATGGTTCGGTTTCTATTCAAAATGAAGTAAGACTAGGACTCTTGAGCCAAGAAAAGAGATGAACAGAGGACGAATGATAAAGTCAGAGAAAATCATGAATGTCATGGATTAGGCAGAGACAGTACTGTTATCCATTATTTCTCAAAATAATAAGAAAGGATTTCTGTAAGAAATAGTGAGCATCATAGTTTCATTCCAGAACAAGCAGGAAATACTTTTTACATAATATGTAGTAAAACCACGCAACCCATCATTGCAGGTTGATCACAGGATATTACAGATGCTGAAAAATTTAGATGAGTTAAAAAATAATTAGGCAAATTCATGAAAGTACTGATGCCATATTGGACTTAGAAATTCCCTAAATCATAAATTGACACATACCTGGGAGGGTATCTTAGTGGAAGAATCACTGTAATTTTGCCCTCTTACACTTTATTTCCAATGACGCAATCCTGGCTGGTGTTAGAGGTCAGATACTGAGCTACATGAACTTGTGGGTTGACCTAGCGGGACTGTTCTTGTTGTCTTCTTATAGATCTTACAAATTTTTTTTCCAGAATAATGAATGTTGCTTTTCATTAAACATTATGTATTGTTTAGAATAGGCTTTAACATGGACTTCCCTAATTATGTTTGGGACATAATTCAGAAAGTAATTCCTTTTGAGTCCCCAAGTGATCCTCTAAAATTACATGCTCTTGTGCTTGTCTGTATATGTCTTTACCATACTATATAGCAATAAATGCAATTTTATTAGGTATGTTGCATTTATTTGGCATTATACAGATTTTATTCTATAGATAGAACAATCAAGTGGTGAATGCACTGATAAAAATTTCTGCTTGCTCCAATACATGCTTTATCTCCTACAATCAGCTTTGGTGGTTTTAAGTTTAGGAGACTGAAGATCAGATTTTCAAAAAGAATGTAGTTGCTAAGAACAATTGCAGAACAATTGCAGCTATCAGGTGCTGAGCAGCTTTTCAATCCAGTCATGTCATTTAGTTGCCTAAACGAGAGCTGAAGTCTCATAGGTGGAGAGTATCTCAGTATTAGTGCATGAGGAAAGTGATTTTCGACTGATGCCTTTGGGTTCTTGAGTCAGTTTGTTCTACTCCGAGCCCTGTGAAAGAGCT